GTCAAATGACACATGAAGGTCAGCACTGGCATGCCACAGAGGAGTGTTTCTGCTGCCACACATGCCGTGCCTCCTTACTGGGCCGACCCTTCCTCCCAAGAAGAGGAGCCATCTTCTGCTCAATTGCTTGTAGCAAGGGTGAACCTCCAACACCTTCAGACAGCAATGCCAACACGCCCGTGGGTTCTCAGGCTCCACTGCAACAGCCCAAACAATCTAATGGTCTAGAACGACGACATTCATTGTCATATGATGCCTCAGACTCTACTCTGACATCACCTCCAGCCACCAGGCCTCCCACTAAGAGCGTCAGTCATGACTCGACATCTGATCAGAGTGATGCTACTTCTCCTTTGCCAGGACGCAAGGGAATTAAATCACCTTTGCCAGACATACAAGTGGTATCCAAATCACCCAAAATGCGACGACGGGCCTTAGCTACTTCACCACTGGTAGAGAACCCAGGTGAAAGCTCTGAAGCAACCAGTCCTCGATCACCTCTCCTCAGCAGAAAGCCGTCCAGTGCTACAGGTTCTCAGCCCCGCATTTCCAGGGAAAGCTCATTTCAGATTCGTGATTTGCAAAGACCACGAAATACTCCTGCACTTTCCAGAGAAGCTTCCATGTCAGGCATCCATGGTATAACTCACCCAAATGCTCATGTATCTGCACCTTATGTGTCTAGTCCACGCTCTCCTATGTCTGGAACATCAGTGGAGAATCCTGTACATCGACCGGGTGAAAATATTCCATCTCCTGCATCGCCACGATCACCTCGATCCCCACGGTTACAATGTGCACAGTCTTCAAGACATGAGTCACTCAGACACCCTCTGGACTCTCCTCACTGTACATCAGAAATTGGGTCCTCTCGTGTCCCTTCAGAATTAGGTGGCTCACGAGCTGCTTCAGACATAGGGTCACCGAGGCCCAGCCATCGTTCTGTGGTAGCTGTGAGCAGTGAGGAAATAAGAGGGCAGACACAGGCTAATCCTCTCATGCGTTCACCCAAGATGGGTCGCAAGGCCTTACAGCTTCAGCAGTCTCCAAAAATGGGACGGCGTGCTTTGGAATTCAGAGGAACAGATGGAAGCACTGTGTCTTCATCTTGTCAGACAAGCCCTCACTCTCCCCCATCCCAGAAGCATCCCCTCACTTCCACACCAACAGGCGAGGCTGGAGAGAGTTTGCCTGCTGAGGTGGTAGTGCAACGTGGAGTTGAGCTTGTTGGAGCGGGATTGGATCGTCTCGTGCTAGAACGATCTCTGGGTCGCATTCTTGCAGAACAAGGTATCAATCTCTTGCGAGAAGTAGCAGCAACAAGTGCTCCTGGCACACTGGAGTCTCTCCTACAGAACTCTGATGTATTATCTAATGCTGCTCGTCGACAACCATTGGATCTTTCAGCATTATCTGATCTGAATTTAGAAGCTCTGTTGGCATCCGAGGAGGCCACAAGGGGGCGTGCTTCACCAGCACATGCTTCCATGCCTGATCTGAGCCAGCATGGTGAATCGTCTGCATCCACATCACCAACAAACACCCCAACACCAGGAGCTCCTAGGAAAAGCTCTCTCTCTTCACGTCAAAAAGACAGGCATAACCGTTCAGTGAGATTTGATCCAGCCCAAGTGGGAGATGCTGCAAGTCGTCAGGATCCTTCTCGTGAGCCCCGTGAATCATCATCCTCCTCTTCATCATCTGGGTCGGCGCCCACAGCACTAGAAGTTGAGCCAGCTGCAGGTGCCACACCCTGTCGTCAAAGTCGCCACAGATCCCATGGCTCACACAGGATCCCAAGATCTCGCTCATATTCTGGTTCGGCTCCAGCACCAGATGGTCAGACTCCCCGGAAAGCACCATCAGCACCAGGACTAGAAGATGCAGACTGGGACAACGAATCTGTGTGTTCCACTTGTTCTTCATCTTCTTCAGATGAATTTGATTATGAATTGCCTCCCAGAAGAGCTTACGGTGGTGTTCGTATAAGTTATGTGCCTAATGATGCCTTGGCATATGCTAGACGACAGGCTGGAGCAGCTCAGACACCAGGATCCCCATCCACACGAAAGAGATTTGGAGAAAAAGACAAAAACTGCATTATATCGTGATGGCGTCATGAACCGGTCCACTCCAGCTATGCAGTAGCCAAGTGCGCTTAGTAGTATCAGAGTAGTGCTCTGCGGGGCCAGGCTTCAGGGTCCTGCCCTGGCCCCGCGCTTTATTTTCCTGGCTGCAGAGCTGTCTACCTCGCGGCCCTGGTGGCCCTCTACTCGAGAGAGTGCCAACTCAGGGCCTCGCCGCACCAGTATTGTTGGGCAGTGCCACATCCTTTCCGTGAACTCTCACACTCATTAATACAGTTTATTCATCGAAGTTCATGGTACATGCATAGATATTTACAAAAAAATGTGGTAAATTTTTAGTTAATGAGTGATAGAGTTAATTATTGTGTAAAGACTATCTGTTATCACAGAGTCAGTCCTCGTTAAAGCTATCATCATCCATCACCTCAATAAAAAGCAGTAAAAGGTGTACTTGTACTGCATGTACAACTGTACATGTGAAAAGTGATGAGGATCAGGGAAAGTGACCAT